AAAAAATAGTAAAGCACTTTATTATTGTTTGTCAGATGCCCAGCCAATATAAATATAGTCTAATAAATGTATTTATTTATTAGACCACCCGTCATATTAAAGAGAAAACACAAATATTTTAGGAATCTGTCAAAACTTGTTTGAAAGCAAAACAAAATTATTGTCATTTCTTAGGCAAATAACAAACTGAAACACACATGACCAAAAAATTTAATATTTTGTATGGCCTCCTTTGGCCTTCATAACAGCTCGCATTCTTGCTGCCATTGTTTTTATGTACTTTTCCACAGCCTCTGTTGTGATTGACTGTTATTGGGCATCTGAATAAAAAAAATAATAAAGTACTTTTCTATTTTTTCTGCCTTTCTTGTAAAACAGTAAATTGGAAAATTCATGGACAACAACAATAATTATATTTTAGCATCAGAAACACTACTGTGACTAAAGAGTTTACACATACTGGTGGATTAACCATTACAGAGACATGAAAAATAATTTTGGTAATCACCAATACTGTTAGTTTAGGGCAGCTGTATATTTATAATGTGATCCAAATTGACAGTTTTTTATGACAGTAGAGTACTATAAAATAACTATCTTATCTTTTAAGGCAGTTATTTGTCATCTAAGGTATTGATTTAGTATGAGGTACGAGGTATTGTACCGAAGCCCAAACGGTGGTGTCGAGCCAATGCCAGTCCCTGCTGTTTCTAGTTGTTAGATGTTTGGTCATATACGTTTCTTTTACATTTTCGCAAATGTAAAACTAATGTAAAAACTCTATAACCAATGTGAACTTTAAATCCAGATAGGTCAATATTTTATGAAGTAGTATTTATCAACTTACCATGAATAATGATGACTTGTAGGTTTCTTGCACCTCTGAACCGACGTCTCGACAAGAACCTCTGAAACTCATCCCTGGAAATGTTTTTCTTTAAATTGAATCTAAATCAGGACCATTACAGGAAATGAATGAAACTGGTTTTTCAAGCATCACAAGTTGACGTCAAAACACTATATATATACTGTATATATACATCTTATCTCACACATGCAGAACACTGACTGAGACCACGAGCAATTCCAGGCAACAGACAGACAGATATGCAGACAGTATTAGATAATCAGTAACAGACAGAAACCATGACATTCTGATCTCACAGATGAATGTGCCGACACTGATTGTTGAATGATAATGGGTTTTCTTTAAAGGATATAGAAATATGTATTGTATAAATACAAGACTTGCCTACTTAGCGTGAGTGGATGAGTATCTCCTAAAAACATTTGTCATTTGACTGCATGACATCAGTTGATGACATCAGCATGACTAAATGAATTTTAGACATTTCTGTTGCTCTTTAATTTTCATTTAATTTGACTCATTTTTATGCAGTTATTGCATCCTTATGTGGATTTACTTCGTTAAATGTCTTGAAAACATTTTTGGGGGTATTTTTGAAATTCAATAAAAGAAATGATGAATAAAAAACGTTTATTCTAAAAGATTTTTGTGATCAGTCATAAAGTTACAGCAACATTCACATTAAAGGGGTTATATGATGCTTTTTTAAAGATCATTATTTTGTGTATTTGGTGTAACAGAATATGTTGACATGCTTTAATGTTCAAAAAACACATTATTTTTCAAATACTGTACATTATTGTAGGTCCTCTATGCCCCGCCTCTCTCAAACGCTTCGTTTTCTACAAAGTCCCTCCTTCTGACAAGCGCAGTCTGCTCTGATTGGCCAGCTGACCCAGTGCATTGTGATTGGCCGAACACCGCAAGCACTCGTCGGAAATGTAATGCCCCTTACCATAATCGTGAGCTTCATCTTTCAAAATAAATGTAAAGACAGAGCCCGAAAGGGGAACAGAGTCGCGTGACAGACACAGTGATGAAGCTGGTATGTGTTTGCAGTACACAAGCCACGGTTAAGACAGCTGACTCCACTGTGAGTGACCCTCTCTCTCTCCCTCTCTCTCTCACGCGCGCGCGCACACACACACACGATGCGCAAAACTCCGCATTTGAACAGTCAATAGTAAATACTTAAACTAATAACAAAACAGTAGCTGCTTCAGAAGCGCCAGATTGTCATAGCAAAGTCAGAATTACCTCCTCTCCTAGGTTCACGAAACGGTCGTCCATAAAATGCATTGCTGTTCTGTTGTAAGTGATCTTAAAGATTCCTAAATGCATCTACTTTCGGAAGGCCAAATAAAGTGCTTTTGCTTTCGCCTAGAAACACACAGCGTCTCCCTGACATGGCTGCTTCAACACTAACTGCGGTTACTGAAACCACGCCTTCTTTCTTTGCGTGCACATTTGGGCGGCATTATGCAAATATTTCCACATAGTGAGGTAGATATGTGGGGGCGTGTTAGAACGAGCGGTTTTAGGGGGGCGTGGCAGAGTCTTAACTTTGATAAAGAATATCTCTTTGATTTTGAGACTTTAGTCTTTGCAACTTCAGGGATCTTATCTATGCACAATCAGCTTGTAACACTCCAAAGAGAAAGGAAAACTTGAAATCGCATCATATGACCCCTTTAAAATCTTACTGACCCCAAACATTTGAATGTTAGTGCATACTGTACATACCACAATTTAATGGGAGCAAAATATATACAAATTTGCCAAAATAAAATGTAAATTTATTCACAAACAATGCATGTCGCAATAATCTCAAAATGGCCAAATACTGGTTGACATGAAATTCACACCAACACAAAGTTAATTTATAATAATGATTTAATAAATTATGGCCTCAAAACAAACAAAGGTGCAATAATAATATTCAAAAGACAGTTCTGACATGGCATTTAAAAATCAGAAGCGCACTAGCATCTAACATAAAGCAATCATTTGGACGCTTCTAGGAAAAGGAACTCCTGAGAGAATGTATAAACTCACCCATCCCCACATGAAAGACTGACTTCTCATCTGCATTTTAGCACATAAAAATATTCTGGCATCTGTATATATGTAAATAATGCACACTGCTGATGGGAATTCCACTCTTGATTATCAGGAGCTGATGTACCAGCATAAATCTGAGCATGACTGAAGTTACACTGTGAAAGACACTCCTACATTTACAGTACATGACACATTTGTGATCATAAGAGATGTCTGAGAACTAAAGTCACACATCTGTTGTTTCCTAGAAACTGTGTTTGTTTGGAAATAAAACATCAGGATTATTACTCCAGTGAGGAGAACTACGATAACACACACTTGTATAATGTATGAAGATTGCACATTTACAAATATCTGAACAGCTCTGTTACCTAGAGTTTGAATCGCCAAGCACTGCATTCTAGGTCACTAAACACTAGATCCCTTAGGAGGTAAAGAAGATAGCTGTTAGAAACCATCTTTGCATATTAAAGGAGCGTAATTATTGCATGTTTCCAAAACAATGAATGACGTGACGTGACATCGGTCTGATGCCAGAGCTGCCTGTAATGTAAGGGCTACAAAAGCACAATCAGCATTTGGTTATGGATGTCCATGAATCTGAAATCTTGTAGCCATATTCCCTCCGACCAGTCCAGGGAAATATTTAGCACTGTGATTCTAATGTACAGATACAGTTCCAGTATGTTTGTAGATGTTGTATTGGCGGATGTTTTCTTTTTTGGCAGCAGGTGGCGTTCTCGGCACATGAGGATCCAGAGGACTACTGTGTGGCAGGTGATGGGGAAAGTAGAGATGAAAGATCATCTCGTTTTGCTCCTTACTGGAAAAGAGATCAACAACATGTTATTAGTGGCAGTATAACTGCCATTATATAAATAATTTTAATAACCTGGTTATATACTAATATATATATATATATATCATATTTTAATATTAGTATATTATTTTATGTTAATTTATTCATATTAAATTACAAAAGCTAAAAAAAAATCACTGGAAATATGATTACCAGCATGGTCAAATTGTATAGCAGTTACATGTTAATAGTGGCAGAATAACTTTCACAATATATTTAAAAATTTCATAATCTGACATTTCTAAATATTTATTAATATTTTCATTATTATGTTAAAATTTGTAAATATTTATAATATCAGTTTAAATTCTGAAAGTTATTATTTATATTACAAGTGTTATTTTTATTTATTTATTATTAAACCTTTTTTAAATTATAAGTTGTAATACTGACTGCCTTATTCCTTACTTAGTAACTTTCAAAATTTAATCAGATATTTATAAATATTTATAAAATTAAATATAAAAGTAATAATTAATATTTATAAAAGTAAAAAAGTTTAGTCGGTCAATATTACAACTTATAATTAAAAAAGATTTATTATTATTATTTTTAATAATAATAATAATAATAATAATACAATTTGGAATATAATATAAATACTAACTTGGAATTTAATCTGATATTTATACATTATAAAGATATAAAAATTTAAATATAATAACATTAATATTAAAAATATAAAAAAATAACATCTAATAGTCATATATGTATATATATATATACAAATATGCATACATTCATAATATATGTTCATTATTATATTATATAATTATAGTTTATAAATGTTTATAAATATCAGATTAAATTCTGAAAGTTAACATATTTATACATAAAAGAAGTAAGGGAAAGTGCAAGGTTGATTGGTCAATATTACAAATGACAAAATAGATAGTTTTATAATTAGTGCTGAATGCTTATTGGTCAATACACAATTTTAACTGCTCTGATAATAGTTATGCTGCAATTGGCCAATCAGAAAGCCATGTAATAACCGATATTTAAATTTTTTTTGACAATATCATTGCAGATCCGAAAGACCTTATCCGGGGTAGACATCATATTCAATTTAATGTGAGTGAAAATAATGCTGTGAGGGATAAAAGTTTAGAGGATTATATTGTGTACCTTGGTATTGATAATTAAGTCAATAAAACACTAAAAATGTCTTTGCAAAAAACATAGGATAGTACAACCTATTGAACGTATTGTACTTCTGTTCGTCACACAACTTCCTTTTCGATATGACCCTGACTAAGATTCATAGATCCCTTGAAATGCAATTGACTAACTGTCCTGCACAAACTCACAAAGTAGACATCCAGCACCGAGTCGTCATCTCTGTCTATGTCCATGGTGCTTTGCTCCGATGTCACACAGATGGCGCTGTCCTCCAATGTAAAAGTTGAGCAGGCACATCTGAAAGCAAACAACAGCAGTGAATCAGAAGAACAGCACAAAGAAGCTCAAGCTACAAATGAAGAGTCCTCAAAACATGACAGATGAATATTGAGCCAAGCTGGTGGTCTCATAAATGCCACAACTGATCTACGGGAATACGGTGGCCTTGTGAGGGAGACCAAAACAGAAAGCACTTCAGTGGTAATATTTCTTATCATTACCGTGACACACTTCAGATGAGTGCTGGCCATCTATATCCACTTTGGAATGTTCTTATGTATTTATTGCCTGCAATAATCTCTTGAGTTATTGCTGCCATGGCAACCAGACCCTTGCTCACCTCATGAACATAAAGCACTATGTGCATGTGACACATTTCAGACGCTGAGGGTGTTCATTAACACAGGCTCACCCTGGACTTCATCAAACACTTTCACTGCCTGAGGTCAGTAAGATAGATAGAATAATTTAATTCAACAAGAACGCATTCAATTGATCAAAAGTTACATTAAAAGGCATTTATAATCTTACTGAGATTTCTATTTCAAATAAATGCTATTCTTTTGAACTTTCTATTCATTAAAGAATCCTGAAAAAAGCATCACATTTTCCACAAAACTATTAAGCATCACAACTGAAATGTTATAATAAGAATATTATAATATAATATTATAAATAATAAGAAATGTTTCTTGAGCTGCAAATCAGCATATTAGAATGATTTCTGAAGGATCATGTGACATTAAAGACAGGAGTAATGATGCTGAAAATTCAGCTTTGCATCACAGGAATAAATTACATTTTAAAATATATATAAACAGAAAACATATTTTAAATTGTAATAATATTTCACATTTTTTCCACAGTTTTTAACCAAATAAATGCAGCCTTGGTGAACATAAAAACTTAGCAAAATCTTAGCGATCCCCAACGTACCATCTGAAACATTGTAAATCCTTAACATTAAGTGTAAGCAATAACAATAGTCATGTTTGCCTTAGCAACAACCTCTAATTAACCTATTATGTTGATTAAAGGGTTAGTTCACCCAAAAAGAAAATTCGCTTGTGTTTTACTTACCCTCGAAGCATCCTAGGTGTATATGACTTTCTTCTTTCAGACGAATCCAGTCGGAGTTACAGTGGGGAAAATAATTATTTGATCCCCTACTGATTTTGTAAGTTTGCCCACTTACAAAGACTTGCTCACCTCATGAACATAAAGCACTATGTGCATGTGACACATTTCAGACGCTGAGGGTGTTCATTAACACAGGCTCACCCTGGACTTCATCAAACACTTTCACTGCCTGAGGTCAGTAAGATAGATAGAATACTTTAATTCAACAAGAACGCTATTCAATTGATCAAAAGTTACATTAAAAGGCATTTATCATCTTACTGAGATTTCTATTTCAAATAAATGCTATTCTTTTGGACTTTCTATTCATTAAAGAATCCTGAAAAAAGCATCACATTTTCCACAAAACTATTAAGCATCACAACTGAAATGTTATAATAAGAATATTATAATATAATATTATAAATAATAAGAAATGTTTCTTGAGCTGCAAATCAGCATATTAGAATGATTTCTGAAGGATCATGTGACATTAAAGACAGGAGTAATGATGCTGAAAATTCAGCTTTGCATCACAGGAATAAATTACATTTTAAAATATATATAAACAGAAAACATATTTTAAATTGTAATAATATTTCACATTTTTTCCACAGTTTTTAACCAAATAAATGCAGCCTTGGTGAACATAAAAACTTAGCAAAATCTTAGCGATCCCCAACGTACCATCTGAAACATTGTAAATCCTTAACATTAAGTGTAAGCAATAACAATAGTCATGTTTGCCTTAGCAACAACCTCTAATTAACCTATTATGTTGATTAAAGGGTTAGTTCACCCAAAAAGAAAATTCGCTTGTGTTTTACTTACCCTCGAAGCATCCTAGGTGTATATGACTTTCTTCTTTCAGACGAATCCAGTCGGAGTTACAGTGGGGAAAATAATTATTTGATCCCCTACTGATTTTGTAAGTTTGCCCACTTACAAAGAAATTAAGGGCCTATAATTTTTATGGTAGGTTTATTTTAACGGATAGAGAGAATATCAAATCCAGAAAAAAAAAACACTGTACGAAGGTTATAAATTGATTTGCATTTCAGTGAGTCAAATAAGTATTTGATCCCCAAGCAAAACTTGGTGGAGAAACTCTTGTTGGCAAGCACAGAGGTAAGACGTGTCTTGTAGTTGGTCACCAGGTTTGCACACATCTCAGGAGGGATTTTGTTCCACTCCTCTTTAAAGATTCTCTCTAAATCCTTAAGGTTTCTTGGCAACTCAAAGTTTCAGCTCACTCCACAGATTTTCTATAGAATTAAGGTCTGGGGACTGGCTAGGCCACTCCATGACCTTAATGTGCTTCTTTTTGAGCCACTCCTTTGTTGCCTTGGCGGTATTTTGGGTCATTGTCATGCTGGAAGACCCATCATCCATGACCCATCTTCAGTGTTCTGGCTGAGAGAAGGAGGTCCTCATCCAGAATTTTACGGTGCATGGCCCCGTCCATCGGTCCTTCAATGCGGTGAAGTCATCCTGTACCCATAGCAGAGAAACAGCCCCAAAGCATAATGTTTCCACCTCCATGCTTGACTGTAGGGATGGTGTTCTTGGGGTCATAGTCAGCATTTCTCTCCCTCCAAACACAGCAAGTCGAGTTGATGCCAAAGAGTTCAATTTTGTTCTCATGTGACAACAGCACTTTCTCCCAAGCCTTCTCTGAATCATTTAGATGTTCAGACGGGCCTGTACATGTGCCTTCTTGAGCTGGGGGACCTTGCGGGCACTGCATGATTTCAACTCATTGCAACGTAGTGTGTTACCAATGGTTTGCTTGGCGACTGTTGTCCCAACTGCCTTAAGATCATTAACAAGCTCCTCCTGTGTAGTTCGGGGTTGATCCCTCACCTTTATCATGACCATCCTTTCCTCATAAGGCGAGATCTTGCATGGAGCACCAGACAGAGGGCGATTGATGGTTATTTTGTATTTCTTCCATTTCCGAATATTCACACCAACAGTTGTCTCCTTCTCAAAAAGCTTCTTGCTGATGGTCTTGTAGCCCATTCCAGCCTTGTGCAGGTCTACAATCTTGTCTCTGACGTCCTTTGACAGCTCTTTGGTCTTGCCCATGGTGGTGGGAGAGGTTTGAATGGAAGATACACATTCTATGGACTGGTTTCTTTTATACTCATAACAAGATGACATTAGGAGTAATTTCTTAAAGTGACAGGACTAATCTGTGTTCCACTTGGGCACGTAACCAATCTGTGGGAGCCAGAATTCTTGCTGGTTGGTAGGGGATCAAATACTTATTTTACTTACTGAAATGCAAGTCAATTTATAACCTTTATATAATGTGTTTTTTCTGGATTTTTTTGTTGATATTCTGTCTCTATCCGTTAAAATAAACACACTATAAAAATTATAGACCCTTAATT